CCAGGAGCCTTGCTGACTGCCAACAAGACGCCCTCGAACAGGTCTAATGAGCCCAAGCCGCCTGAAGATAGCGTTAAGATGGCCCAGGAGGGCTCCAAACACGCCTCCGAGGAAGCAAACAACATTGAACAACAATTGTGTCTTCAAAGTGTTCTGTCTGTCCGCGTCTTACTCCTAGGATGTCCCAAGATCTGCGTTCCCTGGAGCTCCTGAGGCTCCAAGATAGCCCTATTGCTCAACGTGTCCCAATGATGGCCTGGGAGTGCTCAGTGCGTTCCCAAAATATGAAATCAACTCTATCACACCATAGCCACATGATGGCTCAGCCTCGGGGGGCAGGGGCAGAGGGCGTGGAGGTTGCAGGTGTGGAAGCCCATTTGAGGCCGCCCCCGCCAGGAGGTCGAAGTTCATGTCTGGATATTTCGTGACGTGCGCGCGAAGGGTGGATGACGGGAAATATCTTCATACTCATCCTGCTGCTGAACAGTCGGCGGGTCAGACCTGTCGGGTGTCGTGAGGGGGTGTCGGATATCGTGGTGTCGTGGTGTGTCGCGGCCTCGCGGCGCAGCGGTACCGCAGTGTCGCGGTGCGGTGGTGTGGTATTGTCAGGGTGCGATTGGGTGTCACGGTGTCGTGACGTCATGGTGTATCATGGCGGCGTAGTATCGTCGTGTCGCCACACCAAGCGTCTAATGTCGTCGTGGGTGACGTCGTCGCCGTGTCGTGGGTGCCGTCGTGTCGTCACGTCAGGCGTTTGATGCAAATCGGTAAGCATAGCGTCCATAACGTGTCTGCCAGCGTGGAAACCAAACAATGTGTGTTTGCACGCCTGGTGTGTAACACGTGTTATGCAACATGTCGATGGTCCAGTGTACGAGATGAACTATATTAACTATATTATATACATATATATATATATATGTATATATGAGAGAGAGAGAGAGAGCGTGATCCACCGCCGCTTTACTGTGGAAAATTGCCAACCTTTTCCTCTGGAGCCCGGGGGTCGCCCCCCCCCCCCCCCTCCGAAAATCCCCCCCCCCTGCTGGACCCCCCCCGCCCCCTCACCCGGCAAAACCCTCCCTCTCCCCCCTCCCCCCCCCCCCCCCCCTCGAAAACCGGGGGGGGTCACTACCGGTTCGATCCCCTCCCCACCCCCCCCCCTCCGGATCCGGAAAACCGGGGGGGTCACTACCGGTTCGAACCCCCCCCCCCTCGAAAACCGGAGGGGGATCACTACCGGTTCGAACCCCCCCCCCCCCACTCACCGCCAGCAAACGACTCCCGGTCCCTACCACCGTCCGCATCACATCCCCCACTGTTGTTCCCAGCACCACTGTCCTCACCACCACTGTCCCCACTGTGTCCCCACCAGTGCCCCCACCACTGTCGCACTGTCCCCACTGTTCCCACCACGGTTCCACTCTCCCCACTGTCTCCACGGCCCCAACCACTGCCCGACTATCCCCACTGTCCCCACTGTCCCACTGACTCCTCCGCTGTCCCACTGAGCTGTCCCACTGTTCCCACCACTGTCCCCACTGTCCCCACCACTGTCCCCACTGTACCTCTGTCCCATTGTCCCACCGCCGTCCTCGCCACCGCCTTCACCACTGTCCCCACCACCATTGTACCCTCCACTGTCCCACTGTTTCCACCTCATTCCCACTGTGCCCACACCACTGTCCCCACCACCACCGTCCCACCACTGTCCACTGTCCCCCCTGTTCCCACCATTGTCCCCACCACTGTCCCCACCACTACCGGCCCTCTACTGTCCCATGTCCCACTGTCCCCACCACTGTCCCGCTGTCCCCTCACCACTGTCCCCACCAACACCGTCCCCACCACTGTCCGCACCCCCACTCGGTTTTCGAGGGGAGGGGGGGGGGGGTTCGAACCGGTAGTGACCCCCCCCCCTTTTCATGATGAACGGGGGGGGGGGGGAGGGGTTCGAACCGGTAGTGACCCCCTCCGGTTTTCCGGAGGGGGGTGGGGGGGAGGGGTTCGAACCGGTAGTGACCCCTCCCGGTTTTCCGCCAGCAGCGGTTCATATATATATATATATACACACATATATATGTATATGTATGTATGTATGCATGCATGCATGCATGCATGCATGTATGTATGTATGTATGTATGTATGTATGTATGTATGTATGTATGTATGTATGTATGTATGTATGTATGTATGTATGTATGTATGTATGTATGTATGTATGTATGTATGTATGTATGTATGTATGTATGTATGTATGTATGTAATGTATGTATGTATGTATGTATGTATGTATGTATGTATGTATGTATGTATGTATGTATGTATGTATGTATGTATGTATGTATGTATGTATGTATGTATGTATGTATGTATGTATGTATGTACATATGTAATAGAAATACATACCGCACCCCCCGGCCCTGGGTCCCACACCTCCCCGTGACATCTCGGGGAGGCTCCCGGTACCGCTCCCCCGGCCTTTCCAGAGAGCCTCCACAGCGCCCCAGGAGGGCCCAAGACGCCTCCCAGGAGCCCCCAAAATGCGAAAGGATGGTCCAAGACGCTCCCCAGCAACCCAAGTCAGCCTTCCGACGGCTCTCGAGGCTCCCAGGTGGCCTCCAAGAGACCCAAGAGAGGTCCGAGAGGCGTCCTGGGACGGCCCGAAGAGGCCAAAATCGTAGATTTCCATAAGTTGTTTCAATGTTTTTGGCTTCTCGCGTTTTCGAGCTTCCAATGGTCCAAAAGCGCCGAAGAGGCTCCCAAGACCGGCCCAAAAACGGCCCCAAGACGGGCCAAGAAGGCTCCAAGACTGCCGAAGAGGCGTCCAGGACAGCCCCAGACCACCCCAGAACATGCCCAAGATGGGCCCAAGAGCGGGAGCAGGATGCTTCCAGAGACCTCCGAGAGGCCTCCGTGACCCCCCAGAGGCCCCCAACACACCCCCGATCCCTGAGAGGACCCAAAAAGACCCCGACGAGGCTCCAAGAACAACCCAAGAGAGCTGCGAGAGCCGTTCCGAGAGAGCCCAAAGAGGGTCAAATCGTTGATTTCCAATGGTTTTTCTAATGCGTGTCGCCTTTTCACGTTTTCCCGTTTCAAACTCCCTTCGGGGGCGCATCAGGACGCAAGGGGGCCATTTGGGGGGTTTCTCGGGCCGTCTTGGCACATCGGAACATCGAACATGTGGGGAAACCAACAAAACAATGAAACAAAAACACATGGAAAACTCATGTCTAACCTCTCGGGGCCTTCTTGGGGCCGCTCTTCTGAGTCTCCAGTGCTGGCTCGGTGCCTCCTTACTCATGAGTGCCACTTGGTCGGTGCCGATACCATCTTGGGCGTCCCTGGATCGATTGTGGGCGGTCTCCGACGTCCGGGAGTCGGCTGGGGGAACCGTCCTGGGGGCGGGGGCCAGAATTCACAAGTGGGGCAGCGGTCCGGGGCTGGAGCCCGGGATCTCCCTTTATATGCATATACACACATATGCATATGCATACACATATATATATATATATATATGTGTTAGAACCACGCGCGTTTCGCGCGCGTTCAGTTTCTAGCGTTGGCCTGGGGAGTGTTACAACGTACTGGGATCCTTCACCTTGTTCTCTTCTTCACCAATTTCCGAGGCGAGGGAGGTGAGCGACAAACAACATGAATGATGGGAGAAGAAACGGAATGAAAATACGGTTGGGAAAGGATGAACAGCAGACGGGGCAAGGGGGAGGGAAATGCGGAAGGGAGGCGGGATGGTTGTGATGATGGCGAAGGCGAAGGTGGTGAGAAGGACTACGCATTGCCATTGTTTCGTGGATGTTACGATTATGATTCTGACGACGCGGAGGGAAAAAAGGGATGATGCGGAAACTGACGTGAAAACGAACATTCGCGATGATGGTGATGATGATGTTGAGGACGATGATGATGATGCTGATGATGATAATGCCGACGGGCGGGTACCATGGCCATTGCAACACTCGGTTCCCGAATTCTACAAAAGCTGACGGCGGCAGGAAGGCTGACAACCGACTCCGAGAAAGACCTGCAGTCACACACGAGCAGCACATACACAAACAGCACCCCATCAAGCGAAGGCGGGCGGGCTTGGGAGCTTGAGCACAATTTCAGCGAGTGTGCTTCCACTCCCCCTTCCTCCAGCACATGACACACTAAAATTGTTACTATGCCGACGGGCGGGCACCGTGGCCATTCCAACACTCGCGTCCTTCATTTTCAATAAGCTGACGGCGGCAGGAAAGCTTGCAACCGATTCCGACTGAGACCTGCAGTCGCACACAGACAGCAAACGTGCATTGAGTAACACTGCATCATGGCCGAAGGCCGCATAGCTCATACATTCTGGACCGCGACAACTCATCAGTGGCATTGAGGAGGGAGGGGTTCTACGACGAGCTCAACAGCTCTGACAGGAAAGCGCGCAATCCTCATGCGTGCGCGCCACACCCTCGGCCGCGTGGCCGTCGAACTTTTCCAGCGAACGGCTGAAACTCAAGGGCCGCAGCGAGGCTGGCCCTGGGGTGTTCCACGCATGCTGGCACATAGTATTCGGTGCGCGCTTTAATCATTATGATAACTGGTTTCATCTCTACGTCGTCGGCCAAAAAGGTCGGGAACCCAGCGAGGGCACTCGCGGGGGCGACCCGGCCCCGCGGATCCGCGAGGCAGCGCGCAGGCGGCGACCCAGATTCAATCCTGGAGCATCATCGCCGACGAAAGCTAGCAGGCACGCGCGGCCGACGATCGAATCCAGCCCATGCTTCGATCCTCGACGGCTCGCTTCGTGAGGCCGAGACACACGTTTCGACCTGCGCCAAAACTGGGGGCCCCGAAACCGCGCCGACGCAACGCTTTGCAAATGGGGGCCTCTTGGGGCCCGACCACTGCCAGAACGAGTCGACAGCGGCGGAAGCCCGCCGGTGGGCACGTCGAAAAGCCGACCTCACGCGGGAGACAATCTTCTGATCAGAACAAGCGCCAGCTTCGCGGCCCGCGGGACAGGCGCCGCGGCCTGGACGAGGGCGATCTGGCGGAGAACGCACGTGGACGGGGACTCCATCAGCAGCCCCAGCTCCAGCGACGCCTGGCGAACCTTCGCGCGCACCCTGGCGGGCGCGAAATTCCCGCGGTTCGCCTCGGAGGGCGCGCGGAGAGTCGGCGCGCGCCGCCCGATCCAGAGCCCCCGGGCGGCCGCCGACGCCGATTCGAAGCTCCCCCTCGTCTGGCAGGGGTCGCGCGACTCAGCGTCGATCGCGACGTGCCCACAGTGGCGACCCCCGGGCCCGCGAGCGCATGCGCCAGCGGCCCGCCGCGCACCGGGCAGGCCTTGGGCGACCCGAGGCGGGCATGGCCGACTGGCGCCACGAACGCGACCAGGCTGGGCAGACCCGCCAAGGTGACCTCCCCCGTCGCGGCAACGACCGCGCCCAGAGCCAGGGCGGTCAGCAAGGGCGCCGTCGCGGCATCCAGCGAGCTGGCCGCGCCGACGCCGTGCCGCGGCAGCCCGGCCACTCCAGGACCTGCCGCGCGCAGTACCGCGCCCGAGCTCACGGCGCGCTCGTCGCGGTCGACGTCTCCAAGACACCGACGGCAAGCCGAGTCCTCGGCGGCCGCGAGAATCATGGCTCGCAGCCACCAGCTCGGCACGAACTCCGGCGGCCCCCGCGCCCCCTGGAAGCCCTGGCCATGGAAGAACCCCCGGCGGAACAGCCCGTCGGCCGCGTTCAACTCCGACGGCAACCAGCGGACACGGCAGCGAAGGTCGGCAGCTAGGCTGAGAGCCGCATGACGCCGCAGAGGGCGACACTGGGCGGGCTTCCGCCCCTGCCCGCTGCCAGCCGCCAGAGGCAAATGGGGACTTACTTCCGACGAGAAACAGATGCCGATGATGGCGCAGGGAGACCTTGTGAGAGGCATGGCGCGCGGCATCGCGCAAACGCGTCGCCATCGTACTCCGTGAAATTCTTGGAAGAGTTCCAGCGCTTCCCGGGGACGAGCGCGGCCCACGCAGCAGCCTCCACGACGTCTCCTGGGATCTCGCAAGAGCCCTTGCCGAAGCCTTCGCGGGCCGAAGACGCACGCGAGCCCCTGGCGACGGGCTCCAGGAAATCTGGATCGCCAGCGGCCCTCTCGAGGCCAATCGCGCTCGCCCCCGCCGAAACCGCCGACGCACATCGATGTCCCCATCTCTCCGCCTGGCGCCCTTTCTCGGCCGCCAAGGGCCCCCCCCCCGGCCGACGAGCGCAAGCGCCGACGCCGATGGGGGAGGCGCCCGAGACCGAGACGCGCGCTCCCCGCGGACTCCTGACATTTGAAATCCAGAAAGGGAGAGCACTGGCTACGCTAAGCTCGAACTCCACTGCGCCCCAGAGAGGTCTCGCGCCAGAATCCGCCAACGATTTGAAACGTAGGCCGACGACGGGATGGATAAGGCGCCTCACTTGCACAGCGTTGCCCACGTGATGCGCCCCAACAGTGCCTCGGGCATGCGCGGCTAGGCGGCCCCCCGCCGAAGGACTGCAAGGGTCGCCTGCCGAAGCCTCGGCGCGCTGGCAGGCTTCGCCCTCGCAGCACCAACGTCGCCGTCGATCTCGAGGCCCGTGATGGCGGAGACGGAGGAGGCCTCGTCGAGCGAGTGGACAGGAAGCCCCCGCCGCTCCAACGCGCGCTGGACCAGGCCCCTCGGCCGCGACCACGGCCGGGCCGCTGCCGACGATGGCGAAGTCGTTAACGTGGCCAGCCGCCGACGCACTCTCGCGCGCGCGGAGCGCGGGGCCAGGGCGCCCGCCCTCGATCGGGTCGCCGCCGCCGAAACCGTTGCGCGCGAGGGCTCTCTGCTGGGTCCCGAGGCAAAACGGCCGCGGCCAGCCCCGCCCAGTCGGCAGAGCGCAGGCCGCGGGCTGCAGCGCGCAATCGATGGGCGACGGCACCCCGCCCACCTCCTTGATATGCACGAGGTGGTCGGAGACGGCGGGCGGGGGGCGCGAAATGCCCCCCCGCGCCCTCTGGCGAGCGCGCGGTCGCACTGGACGTCGCCCTGGGCCACCGCCACGGGGCCGACGGTCTCCAGGGCAGCCAGCGCGGCCCGTCGGCAGCGCGGTCTTGGGCGGCGCCTCGAACTCCCCCTTCGCCGACCGGGTGTCGAAGATGAGCCCTGGGGCACCCTTGCCAGCCTACCCGACGAAGCAGAACCCAATCTATCATGATCACCCGCCCGCGCGACGCGGAACTTGATCACGCCGCCCCCGAGCAATTTCCCAGCGACACCTTCGTGGGCTCTGGGGCAGCTGGCCAAAGCATGGTCTACGCATGGGCGTTGCGGCACCGAGGCCGACCTCGGGCTCGAAGCAGACGACTCAACCTTAACCCCGAGAATCAGTCTTGCTCGGCCTGGGAGACAAGGTCAGCGACAACCGCTGGCGGCGTCGAGAGGTCAGGCTAGGGCGCCAGGCCCTCGCTGTAAGACTCGACGCGCTGGGAGCCAGCCGAATGCACAGGCACCGACGCGAGCAGCTCTGTCAAGGCCGCCTCGCCCGAATAGTGATCCTCTCGACATTCGGGGGGGGGTCGTTGACAAGCCTGCGCAACGCGCTCCATCGCGCACGCCCGCGCCGCCGACGCTTCCCACCCAGGAGACGCCGAGAGCGATGGCGAGTGGCCGCTCAGCAAGCTCAGGGCGGCGATGTCGCCGCTGGCCCATCGCCGCCACGCAGACCCGCGCTGGGCGCGCTGGCGCCCCCGTCGGCCCAGGCAGGCCGCGGCCCCGGCGTCCACCGCCAAGGGCGGCAAGGAGAACGCGTCGCCCTGCCGAGCATCAGGCCCCATCAGCTGGCCAACGTAGGCGGTCGCCCAGGCGGCGCGACTGTGCCTGCGCCAGCTTCGACGAAACTATCTTAGGACTATGCGCGCACCGCCCGCTTCCCGCGGGCTCTGCGCCTCTCCGCGGCGAGGGGCCCTTGCCCCACTTATTGCCCTTCGTCACGGCCTGGGCGGTGACGATGCCAACGTAGTGGCGCACCCCAATGATCTGGGTCCGCCCGCAGCCCAGCTGGCAATCCGAGACCTCGGCGCGGTTGACCTGGTCGCAGCAGCACCCCAGCCCGAGCCACCCACGACTCCACCCGTGCTGCTGGCAGACGGCGTCGGAGCTCTGCAACCGATCCTCTGCCTTCCACTCGGAGTGCCACGCCAGCGGTCCACCAGCGCTCCGCCGCATGTGATCCAGGCACCAAAGTGTCGTACGCGGTCCCTTGATCAGCCAAACGGCCAGCGATGTAGAGTTCGCCTGCGTAGCGGCGGTCATGAAGTCCAGCAACCTGTGACTCGCATCGTGACACCTTCCCAGGCAAGCGCCGATCTGGCGCCCCCGCGCCTGGTCCAGCGAGCGGCGCCGCGCCTCCACCGCCTTAGGGGCGGCCGCTCCAGCACCGATGGGCGCCGCAGGGTGGGCGGGCGGGGGCACGGCCACCCCGAGGGTGGCCACGAGAGCGGCAGCGCCTCCAAGCCCTGCGGCGCCAGCGGCCCCGCCAGCAGGCAGTCCCAGCGCCAGTGGCGCCCGCGCCCGCGCGGACGCGACCGCGGGGGCGGGGTAGGCCAGCACGATGGGCTGATCAGCCCTGCCCGCGCCCGCGCCCACGCCTCCCGCCAAAACGAATGGCTCGGGCTGCACCGTCGCGCCGATCAGGCCTGCCGCATAGCGGAAGCGTCCCCCACACAGCCCCAGCACTCGTCCGAAAATTTGTGCACGTTCGCCTCGACGATGCCGGCGAGGAGAGCCTCTGGACACAGCAGGGGGCGGATCTCCAGGGCGACGGCGTCCACCCCCGCGGTCTCCTTCTGAACATTCCCATCGACAGTGACGACCAGGGCCGAGGTCAGCGCCACCATGAGAAGCGTGATGCGCTCGTGGTACACTGCAAGCACAGCGGTGCGAGACGAAGTAGCGATGACTTTCACCTGGCAGCAGCATGCTGGATAGCGGCCCTTGCCTGCTGCGATACCCGCGCGTTGATCACCTCGGCAGTCCAGCGCGGCGAGATAGCCCTCCACTCGATCCTGACGATCGGGCCGAAGAGGAGGGCAGGGAATGATCGACTCCAGACGCCACCGTCTGGTCGCGTTGGAGCCGTCGATGCTGGGACACGAGAGACTGTAGGGCGGCGGGCACTCTCAAGCATACGCAGGACAGGCAGTGGAGAGCCCAGCAGCAGCGGAACCAATCACCAGGGCCAACAGGACGCCTCACGAGAGTTCTGAGAGAATCCGAGCTTGTGCCCCTAAAAAGGTTGAGCACAATTTCAGCTGATGTGCGGCCCGTCTCCCCTCCTCCAGCACATGACACACTAAAGTTGTTACTATGAGGATGGTGCTGATGATGATGATGATGATGATGATGATGATGATGATCATGATGATGATGACGATGATGATGATGATGATGATGATGATTGTGATGATGATGATGATGATGCTGATGATGCTGATGATGATGGTGATGGTGATGGTGATGGTGATGATAGTGATGATGGTGATGATGCTGATGAGAATGATGCTGATGCTGATGCTGATGTTGCTGCTGCTGCTGCTGGTGGTGTTGGTCGTGAAGACGATGACGATGGCACGGAGGACGACTATGGAGAGGTATGGAGGAGGATGCGTGATGCGAAGGCGGTGCATGGCAATGGTGATGTTGTCCATGATGGCTGTAGTGATGATGAGTTGGAGGAGGACGAGGACGACGACAGGGGGAGAGAACGAGGCGAAGGTCTTGTCCAGCTGCTCATGATGTTGTTGTTCGTGATGTTGCGGACTTCCTCCTCCTACTTCCATCTCCCCAGGTTCCCCTACTCCATGCTCCTGCAAAGTTCACTCTGTCGAGGTCGCCAGGCGGCCAGGAGAGCCCAAGCGGCCCCGAAGACGGCCCCAAGAAACACCGAAGACGTATGATGGCATCAAAATGCCTGGAAGGCTGCCCAGGAGGCCCAAACACTCCCCCGAAGTGCCAACAGACATGGAAAAACATCACGGTGCCAGTATGTTTTTCCTGTCCCTTGGCTCCCATGATGCCCGAGGATGAATTCAAAACGGCCCCAGAGCCACCGAGAATGCCCAGTTAACCTGGAGATGGCAACCAATGGCTCCAAGATTTCGCCCACATCGCCCAATCTGGTCCCAAGGGACCCCAAGATAGTCCCCCAAACCCCTCGAGGTGGGCCCAGAGATCGCCAGACCTCGCCCAAAATGGCCCTGGAGGGTCGATGATGCTCCCGTAATGCCGCATCATTGCGCAAACACTGCTCCCAATATGACCACTAAGTGGCTCAGCCTAGGGGGCCCGCGGCGGCCGGGGGGGGGGGGGGGCACCTCGGGACACCACGGCTTGAGCGCCCCCCGGGCACCTC